ACATATCTTAAAATATGTAACTAAAATTAAAAATCTGCCTGATCACATCCCCAACCATATTCTTCACAATCCATTACCCCCTAATCTATCACCCTCTAGAAGAACATTATTTGAAAACTTTAAAACTATTAGTGAAAACCTATCCTGCCAAGCACAAACACTAAATAAAATTCAACCGTCTCACCCTTCCTGGCTCTGGTCGCCAATGTGGGTCCCCTCTCACATTGGGATACCCGGAAATGAGAAAGCTGACTCTATAGCCTATGAAGCCACCACATCTCCTTCCTCCACAAAGATAAACACACTAACCTCATCCGAAAATTTCAACATTATACATCATAAATTAATGGAAGAATGGCAAAAATTCTGATCTAACCTACCCCTCTCTAACAAACTGAGAAACGTAAAATTATCTATTAAAGAAGAGATGAAGTAAATATTACTCGAGGCTAAAATAGGCCACTCACATTTAACTCATGCTTATCTCATAAGAAAAARACCAGCCCCAGTATGCGATACTTGCAATGAGACACTAACACTAGAACATATCATCATAAATTGCACCAAAYACACGGAAGCCCGCAAGAACCTCAAAAACCCCACCTCACTCCATCAAGCACTCATTGAAGACAATACAGACGCAATCAATGTATTCTTCCATAGTATAAATATAAGTCATAAATTGTAAACACATGTAAATACTTGTAATAATTATAATGTTCACTTATTTATATTAATTTAATGCAGGCTAAAGACCTTTGATGTCGAACCCTTAATAAATTTATATAAAAAAAAAAATATATGACAGTAGTACACCATACTAAGAAACAAATATATAAGTATAAAATATTAGCCAGTTAGCCTATTTATAATAATTTATATTGTGTTATTGATGTAAGATTTTTAAATTTTTTTATTACAGTGAAGAACACTTATGAAAAATATTGTTTTAAATTTCCAATCCTCAGCTATAAAAATTGAAATGTTTTTGAGCTGCTATTCAATTAATTTATAAAGAAATTTTCATACAAAAATTGGAACAGTTTTTCTTGATATTTATAAAAAAAAAACTGAAATACTGAATTCAAGCATCTATAAATAGTTCATAATGACCTTAGTCATAATGAAATGGTCAATTCTGTACCTCTTTTATAATGTAAGTCATTATATCCTATTGGCAACAACACTCTATCAAAATTATAAGTAGTAAACATGTTTATTGATTATTAAATGTAGAGTTGTTAAGTTAAAGTAAAGATAAGATAGTAATATATAAGCTATATTTTATCATTTACGTTAGTTATGGAATCAAAAATGTCTAACTATGTGTTTATATTGAGGTTTAAATTAATAATTATATTTAAGTTATTTTTTTGGTGAAATATTCAGAAATATGTAAAATAATATTGATTGTATCTGATATATGACATACAAAATTAATTTATTAAGTACTTACTGGATATGCGATGCACATTACTATAAAAGAAAAATATACAAAAATCATAAACATCCTAATATTACTTATAATTATTACAAATTTACTTAAAATAGTAATATTAAGGACTTGAATGTAAAATGAAATAAATAAAAATTGCATACGTCTAGCTCTCAGCTTATATTTTAATATTTCTATATGGTTAGTTTATAAACTGCATGGTATTGAGAAAAGGGAAAAATATAAAAATTGCCTTAAGATAAACAATAAAATATGATAAGACATAATAAAAATGTATTTTAAGTAATTTATATAAGCACAATGATATTATTAATGGAATCATTTTTGTGAAAATTATCAAGAAACGAACCACTAAATTGTACTCTGATGTTTAATAAAAATAAAATTCATAATTTTATTATTTTTTAATATCAAACAATTAATATACTGGAAATTAAAGAAATGTTATAAATTTCAAATTTCAAATTATAATTTCATTTTTATCATATATTTTAGTTTAAATAAATATAATTAATAATAAAATTTAAATAAATGTATATACATACTGCTCATAGCAATGTTTAACAGAAAAATATGACTGTTCTAAATGTCCAGTTTTATTTGTAACCAATTTCCAAAGTTTACCTTTATTTATTTTATTATACTCGCCACAACTTTTGACAACCTAAATAAAATTAATTATTATTAGTCAGATAAGTGGAAATAATTTACTAGTAATATATTATGATAATTTTAATAAACATATAAAAAGAGTTGACTTATTTGTTTTACAGAAATGTAAAATAAAAGAATTTTTAGTTATATATATATATATATATATATATATAGCTATTGTTTAGCATATTTGCAACTATTTATATTTCAGGATACCATGTGTAAGCAAAAAATAGTTAATGTATAAAATAGTTATATTTCAATTGGTATAAGATCTATATTAAACATATTACAGTGATRWTAAAAGTAAAAATAAAAATAAAAAATTACAATTTTGTAGATGTACCTTAAATAATTTGTATAAATCAACATCTTTCTCATTAATTGATAGTAATTGATTTAAAGGAGTTCCTTTTTCATCTATAAATTTAATCCGTTGAGCGAAAAAATGATCTTTCTCTTCGATAGATTCCCCATCAGAATTCTAAATTAATAATAAAGTATTAAATAAAATATAGATTATAAACAGTAAAATATATCATTTTTAGATGRATGATAATTTGTACAACATTTCAAAGCTTGTGGTCATTAGTTTATGGTACTCCCAACAGTTATTTTTTACATGTTTGTACTTACATTGCAGTCAAATGCTTCATTATCTGTAGTATTACACATTTTATCAATACTAAACAATAAATCTCTATCCCAATGTGGTGGAAGTTCATCTTTGTCAAGAAATAATATGACTTTTTCGACAGCTAAATAATAATAATGTTAATGAATTTCAGTAACACCATAAATACTAAATCTAATATTTACCAGTTTTAAGTGTAGGATTTTCCATTCAAGCACCAATTTCAGACGAATTTCTCTTGTAAATTCAGTTGTTTCATTTTTAGGTACTGTTATGCTAAGTTTATAAAATATGATATTAAATAGATAGTTACATTAAAACATTTGAGTAATGCTTATTATTTTCCATCCTTAAATGAACGAACAAGGTAGTTTTTTGCCAAATTGGTTTTGACTGAGAATTGTGATATGGGYGCCACTATTAAGCCAGGAAAACAATTGTCTCTTAATTTCTTTTTATCGCTAGCTTCTATACAAACTACTTATCCAACATATTTTTCATCCATTGCTGAAGTGCCTTCTTCTACACTTTCCCTTTATTGTGCAAAACCRTTAGTTTTAATTAAAATGGAAATATGGAAGTAACTAATATCATAATAATTGGCTACACATTAAAGTTGTTGTATGTATATAAGCAATTAGGTACCCAAAACTTTATTTGGATTTTTGACTTCTACCACCTTGTACTGTAGTAGTTTTTACAGGARTAACACCAATATTTTCAGGGTGTGTTAGAGGAAGTTTATCAAGAGTGGTACTAGTAGTAAAGTGTTTTCCACTTTTCAAACATAATGCTGTTCTCTTTAAACATGTAACATCTCCGTCATCAAATGCTGCAAAAAAAAAAAAAAATCATAAATAAATTCATTAATAAATATAATTATAGGAAAATATATACCAACAATGTATTACTTGGATCTTGAATTTTTTTAATTCTTACTTGAACTAATTCTTTTTTATTGCTACATTTTATAGTAACATGCAGTTGCTCCCACCTTGAGATATAAATATAATAGATATATAGAATCTATGACCTACACGTAGACAACCATTTTTGTACTTCTACTTGTCTTGAAATAATTTTCATGTATTGATTAACTGCAATGGCAGTTCAATTTTTAATGTTTTTTTAATAAAAAATGTCTGAAGAATTAATTAATATGTTTAAGAGAATATTACACACACATCTCCTATAAATATACAATATAGAAAATTAGCATTCAGCCTAATCAACCTTGTATTGTTAGCTTGAATACTCAAATAAATAATATTTATATTATATTTATTTATTCTCTCAAATATTAATGTAATAACTTTACCTTTATCTGTATAACTTTTCTATGATATTTCATTTTTATATTTCTTCTAATCTCAATTAAATTTAAAATAGTGTAAAAGTCATAGAATAAACACAAATAATATTCAAACTTTTTAATTTGATTATATATTATGTTAATCTAATATAAAAGCTAATGTCCCAAAATTGATTTTGCTGAACTCTAATTTAGTATGTTGTAAATTTAAAAAACGGAGACATCACATGCAGCTGAGTTGTCCTCTTAAGACAAAAATAAAAATTTTTACCATCTTATTTTTTACAGATTTATGTTGACTACATTTAGCATGGATCCGAATTATTGGAATATTTTAGATACAAATAAATTGTTCAATATATATAATAACTATGAAAAAATTAAAGTTATGTAAAAACGTTTTTATAAAGTTATAAATGTGTAATTTATTTCATTTTTATTCATGTGTATAAATTGTTTTTAGAAAACGATTTCATAGATATGAGGTTGCATTATCAATAATTGATACAGATGAGATGTGGGATAAATATTTAACCACTATAATCAAAATAATATCTGATGCTCATATAATAGAAATTTATAATATTGAATTCCTTAAACAATCTATATATGTCATATGATGCTCACAAGAAAAATAAATTGAAACCAAAACATTATATTCAATTGGTAAGATATTTAAATTATCTAAAACACTTAGTATTTGATAATAGGTTTATTGTGATATTGAAGTTGACAACAACAAATTGGAGATCAATATTTTGGTAAATTATGCGTTAGGTACTAAGACGAAAACAAATAGAAACACATGAGGGTACGATGTCCTTTTATTAAGAAACTTATAGGCATTGCTACTACCATTTATTTAACTTAGTTCAAATAATGTAAAAATTAATAAAAGCAGTTTTTGTATTTCTGCATCATAAAATTAAATTGTATACCTTCTTATTATCTTAATAATGTTAGGTTAAGGGAGTAGGTCACAACATTATTTTCTTTTTGTCATTTAATAATTGGGCAATGGTTTGGTTAGATTTTTTAGTTAAGATGTTAAGGCGTTCAAGGGGTGAATAATTGGAGTAATGTGTATTGGTACGATTTGATAGTGGTTAACAAAAGATCCAAGTGTAACATCTAACACCCTAATAATTACGGTATTACTAAATATTATAGCTAAGTCTTTAACATTATTCATATTACTAAAACATTTTATATACTGAAATTGTCTAAGATATTAATTGTTGAACAGATGTTMTCCTGTATATCATACAGAATACATTATCATATTATGAATCTTAAGCTAACATTGAAAATTAAACTAATTGAACTATAATAAATATGTAGGTAGATATATCAAATACTTATTCATGTTAATATGTTATGAAAATGACATCAAAAAAAAAAAAAAAAACAAAAAAATATTAACAAAACTATGTAATCGTGTATTCTCATTTTAATCGCAAAAAATATATTTTTATAGTTTACATAATTTGGCGAATCAATAATATCAATGTATAGTCAAATATAACTAAAATAATATGAACGAATAATTAATTTTAAAAAATGTTTATACAGGTAAGATATAAGGAATATAAGTAGTTAAATACATTCACATACATATGCAATTATAAATCCAGAAAATATAGGTACCTAATTATATTAAAATCATATAAACTATTATACAAAGAGCCATAAATTATAAATACATGTGGGTTTTAGATAGTATTATTATATACAATATTTAGTATTATAAAATTATAATAGTAAATTATTATAGTATAATTGTAAATTACATATATATTTGTGTACCTATGATAAATCAAACCATAACAAGTATTTYATTGTTAGAAAACATGAATAAAATTATTATATTTAATGCCCACTCATGCGTTTCAGCTAAAATTTTGGTCATTATAATATGTATGTACTTCAGGAGATTTTTATTACAGATTTGTATTTGCAATAAAGCCAAAACTACAATTTTAACCATCATGCATTTATATTATATACAATTACCTTAATAAGTAAATTATTTCTCTCTAGAAAAACACTGAGTATTTTGTATAAAATCGAATTGCAATATTTTTCAAACATTATTAAAGGACAAGTTTAAGCTAATTTTATAAACTTATATATATATATATATATATATATAAATATGAACACAATTTTATATCATTTAATAAATAGAAATTGGATGTAATAATAATTATTTCTAATATATGTAATCACGTGTAGATTGAGTTTGTAAGATTCAAACTTCTTTGTAGAATTCCAAAGTATGACCAAGTTTCAAACCCATTTTGTTTGATACAATATCAGCTCTAGTAAGTAACAGTAGAACAGGGCTGCTATTGAGATCCTAAAATTACAGAATACTTTCTAGTACAATGTTACTTATCTTCAATTCTGAATAAAATGTAGAATGTTGGATTGATTTTAAAATTGCATCAACTTTCGGTGCATTAAAAATGTTTTGACTTTTTAATTTAACATCTTTCTTAGTAGGAAAATGAATCTAGTAAGGTTAATTATTGTTAATTAAAGTCAAATTTAAAATTCCCAAAAGTGTGCAAAAGTTTCAGAAAAAATGTAATTTAAGGTTTCTCATACGTTGTAATAATAGCTGTTCAAAAATATTTAAGGTAAATGTATGGTGATAATGTGATATTGACTCAAAAGTTTATTATAATGAATACAGTATGACAAAAATATGCATTAATATAATAATTAAATATTAATTATTAATTATTATAATAGATGCAATGTTTTTGGCTAAAATTAAATCAACCTACCATAATACTAATAGAACAATAATTTTAATGGTAATGCCAAAACATAAAACATGAAATATACTTGATATAAATTATAGAATCATTTTTCATAAACAATATATGAGCAAGTTTAAATTTAATATATTAATTACAATGACTTATTTGATACTTACAGTACACAGCTGATAGGTACCCACTTGCCCACCTTTTTTATTAAAAATTAAAGATTGTACACAGAAAAACTATATGAAATTAATATTTTTTTTAAATAAATTAATAATACATTACATATTTGAACTGTAATTTTTTGAGATAAATGCTTTGTTAAATATTCAATAACCTCAGCTTTTGTCCATTTTGATATATTTCGACATTAATACTAGGATATTTATCATAATTTATAAAGTCCGATTGACTATGGGATCAACTTCTTTCTGAATCATTGTCATTTTTATTAGATGAACCATACACTATTGACGAGGTGTCTGGCTTAGGCTCAACATCATCTAAATACATATTTGATTAAATTAATGTATAGTTAATAATTACATACAATAGATGTGGACTGTCCAGTCTTACCTTCAATATTATCATATTTTGCTTCTTCTTCTTCTTCTTCTTCTTCTTCTTCTTCTGAGTTTATTTGAGTAGCCAAAGTCATGCAAGGAGTACATACATATATATCTTTTTGTAAGCATTGCATTGTTTTAATATCATAGGATTCATAACAATTGGTATGTGAACCAACATCACAAGTTATGCAGCGGCGATCAATTTTCTAATAAAATTTAATTAAGTTTTTAAGTATGAATTAATACTATTATTTTTTACTAAGCTCACCGACTGAGATTCATTGTTGAGACATATGTTACAATATTGTTTYCTGCATTCTTTACAGAACCAAGGACCATCATCGAGTTTGTATTTCCATACAGGCTCATCGACTAATAAGCAGTGTTTATGGACTATAAAAAAAAATAATTAATCAATTGTATTTCAAAACAATGAAATATATTTATCAATTACAATTATTACTACCTTTAGTAAAACATATGGGACAATCAAATTGATCGGTCATTTCTGAAACTGCTGAACAAAGATAACATGTTTCTAATGTTTCCTGAATTAATGGAGAATTTAGTGGTGAATTTATTAGTGATTTAGAATCATTGACAGATGACACACAATCCAATGGTTCAGTTACCTCAGCTACTGTATTCATCTCGACACTTTTTGGTATTGTTGAATTTCTTTTTTTTCTATAATTCTGTAATTAAAAAACCAATTGAAATTTTAAAATAATGTTACATAATTTTAAAAATCAATACCAACCGTGTTTCTATGAAGTCTCTCAGGTATAGGTTCTTCATGAGTAATTGATTTATTATTCGGCATTGTTATTGATGAAATGATACTTAAACAAATTCACAACATAATTATAACAAAGATAATTTAAATGGCAGTTGGAAAAGTAGGTATAGGTTACTTTATATGTACCTATAATTATACATTTATTATTGTTATTTATTATATTACTTTATAATTTATATACTTAATAGTAATATACTAACATTTCAATAGCTAGTATTATTACCAAATTATTTTTTGTATTCTATTTGTTCAAATCATTATAATATGCCATAATTATTTGAATGTGTTTGCGTAAGTACTACCTCTTATTTTTATTGTAAAGCATACAATGTAATTAGATAAAATACCTACCTAAATTTAATAACAAGACTTGCATGTTATTGTTTATTTTTTTTTCTAGAATAAGTTATATTTTTTTTAAGATTACAATACCTAGGTATTTAGTTACAAAACTCAACAATTTGATAAATCAACTAAATTTTGCCGATCATAATATTTCTTATAATAGATAGATAACTTAAKATAATTTTCAATTACTATTTAGTAGTATACTAGTATACATCTTAGAGAAGTTGCCATATGGAGACATTCCTATAATTCTATTCATTAGATGTTTTACATAATACATTTGCAGAAAGTAACTAATAAGAAATATTGCATTATTATATATACTTAAGTATTAATAAAGTATTTATTTAACAGAGAAAACCAGGTAAAACTATAAAAGAACTATGAATAACCTTAGGTTGTGTCTTACTTATAACTGGTCTGCTTTTTAATTTCAACCGTTTTGTTATATTGATTTATTGTAATAATACATCACTGTAACAAAATCTGTTGTCACCGCACCATTCAAACCACCGGTCTTATACGACCCGTCTATTAGCAAATGGTCTATGTCTATGGTTGTAAGTCGTAAAGCGTTGAGTAATGATTGAGATACTGGGTTTTGGGACGATGGAGAATTGCTCTGGTGCGCAAACTAGCTGTAAGCGAGAGCGGCGTGATGAGCAGTCTTCTAGGAGTTAGATTACGAACGCGTTGATAACAAAATCTCAATTTAACGCGTTGAACACTTACCAGACAGTGAATAAAAACGGTTTATATCACTGGAAAAAAAAAGGTCGCACCAGACAGTAAATAAAAACGGTTTATATCACTAGAAAAAAAAAGGTCGCGCCAGACAGTAAATAAAAATGGTTTATATCACTAGAAAACAAAACGGTTAATATCAATTATCATGGATGAAAAATATCTCGTTTCGCCTTGRAATAAGCCATTGATATTAAACATATGGATACAGCATGATTCCTTTATAGAATATATATTCAAGAGGGATCAAGAGCAAAATTCAGCAAACAATCAGAAAGTAAGGATTTGTGGTGATTACGACGTGTTATCACCACTTACGCTAGCGCGTTCGTTTTATTATTGTCGTTACCATTTTGTTCCTAACATTGAATTATTTGTACTTGTTGTAAACGTTTTTATACTTGTTTTTATTACTATGTCCCTTGTATTATTCACCGTGTGAATTATAATATTATTGTAACTTATTTTACTTGTACTTTTTTCGTGACCGGTATTCGCACAAGTCCGTGCCCCTAACCGATTTGTCTACGGCTATCGCCACGATTCGCGGCTTGTTTTAAAAACACGCCGAAACGCACCGCGYGGGTTGCATTGTTCTTTAATTTACTATTGTTTAACTTTGTTAAATATATTGTTTTTGTTTTGTTTGCCGAACAATAAATTTCGGTTTTATAACCTGGTATCGCAACAAATTTGTTTTTTTATTTTTTTTTTAAAACTTCTGGTCTGTCAGAATCGTTGGTTGTTAGTGTTGAGACGGTTTTTCCTCCACCAGGCACCAATGCCGCAGATTATTATCATATTATCATATAATCATATCATATCATATAATACGTACATTACCTGCTCATTTTTTAAAATAGATATTTAAAAACAAGTAAGGATTATTAAGGATTCATATAAATTATATGAATCCTTTATTATATGATATAATACTTAAGGAATATACATTACCCGCGCATTATCATAATACCACGACACGTATAATTGTGTTTATTCGTTGCCTTTTATTTTATAAATGTTGTAAGTATAATGTCGTTTACGTCTTCACTTACGTGCAATATATGTAAAAAAGTTTTTGGGTACCATCGGAATTTAGTAGCACACAGAAAGAAGTGTGGCAGTGGAATCGTTGTAGAAAATATCAATAAAAAATCAATAAAATACCCAGACAATAAATGTGGACAATTATTCAGCGGATATGCATTGCTACGAAAACGTGTTGAAGAGTAGGTACCACAAAATCGTTTTAACAAAAGAACATATTTATTTTAAAACTCTAAATGGTAGGTAAAATAGGTAGTAATAATATTTTATTTATCAAATAGATCTTTTAGAGTCATGATTATATCACCTTTTATTTTTATTATTAAATATTTCTAACTTTAAAATATAGAAAAAATAACTAACCGATAACAAATGTTTTTTCATGGTGTTGAAGAAATAGGAATACCTTTCACATCAGTGAGTTTTAACAAGTATTCTATTAGTGGTAAAATTATGCCCTTTTGTTTTTCAACATTATTATAACAGAGGTTTCTTAAAGCCTATTCCAAAAGGACTGCGTGTATTMAAAAAAATCAAACAACCGGTCTATAGTATGTATAAACTTAATAGTTTCTTCAACTAAAATTAAAAATATAGAATTTCAACATTTTAAAGATTGCATAGTTATAATCATTGCCAGATAAATTGAACCGGCGGCGGCGGCGCGAAAACGAAAAGTCCCGGTACCGCCGGCTCAATTTATCTGGCAACGACTGTAGTATAGTTAGTAATTGGTAAGTTACCCACCTATTGGTTAGCTACTACTAATTACTTGATTATACGACTCACAATTTTTAAATTCWGAAATATTAAGACAATTTAATGCTTCTAGAGCATCAGCTGTTGACGAGCTCAGTGTTTCAGCAGCTAATCTCACTTTCATAATATTTTTTCGCCAATCTACATGTGATGCACTTATTTTGTTGGCAAAATTAAGACCCATTTTTTGTTGATCTAAGAGAAATAAATAATATTAAATATAAATAAATATTTAAATATAAAAACACATTGTAATCATTTTTTAAGTAGATAATAGAGTGAATAATAGCCAATTAGTTCACAAATTACAATAAAATACTACCTATTACTTTTATGTAATTCTTCAATAAAATTCCAGCAGACAACACCATTTTCATTTTTAAATATTTTGTACGTCGCTAGGGCATTTCTTGCCAATTTTAAATTATGGCAAGCATCAGGTATGTAATGAATCTAAATAAATACATTATGATACAATATGACATACATAAATGATATTAACTCAGATCACTTGTTATTAAAAATATAAAAGATTACTTTCCATTCAATTCCTGGAATATAAAACGATTCCTTGTGTAACACAATCAGTCTTTAAGTAATACATTTAATTTTGTATTCGGAATACGTATTCGAATAATGTTCACAAAATATATTTAKAATACATTCTGGAACACTAAAAAAATCATTCGTTTTATTCCTTCTGTACAAATATAAAACTAATTTTTATAAACATTGCTTAGTCTTGGCAAGTATACTATTTTTAATTTGAATTGGGTAACTAATATACTGTATAGTAACTGTTTAGCATGTACTCGATCATTGTACTCTGTACTGGTTGGAAGATAGGAATTTCCTGAAGTCATTGCACTTTAAAATTTAATTTAATTATGCATTTTTAGATTTATCATATACTTTAAAAGTATAAACTAAATCACATTTATATTATTTCATTTTATAGGGCTCACTGTGCCAAAAATGTAAACAGCTGATATATAAAGACAATACATCACATATATATTCGAAAAGTAAGATAAAGAATTAAGATTGTGTTTTAAATTCAAAATTATCTTTTTAATTGTTATCCAATCAAGCTTTATGGAGACATTTAATGTGTTCAGGTTTTTGAATTATACTGTTGAAAGCAAATGACTGAATAATAGATTTTAAATAAATATTTTTATTTATCCTGGTTTTATCATAATAATAATAACTACTATTATTATTTAAATTTTTACCAAGTTCAAAAGAAATCACAACTAATTGATAATACCTCTTGTCCTGGTATTGAATTATTGTGATTTAAGTTTGTCAACCACTTTTTTTACAATATGTTCTAACTATCAATTAAAATTAAATAACTTGTTTTTACTTCCAGTACAACCTCAATATTCTTTCCAAAAAATACCCAAGGTCCACAATACAGCAAAAAAACTACCAGTGTCTTCAATTTCCTTGTTTTCAAATTTATTGAGGGAGATTGAAATTGAAGAACAAAACTCATCATTTGTCTCAGAAAGTAATATAATAAATGAGAATTTAGTTGAAAATGAAATTAACGACGATGAAGATTCAGAAGATTATACAAAACTGATTATTGCTGTACGTAAACGTCATCCTCTGTGGGATCAATGTCTAATAGATATGAACCCATAAAACAAAAGTTATGGGATGAGATTTACATAGAATTAAATGGTTAGTTTTTGATAAGCATGATTTGTTATTAAATATTYAATTGAAAAAATTTACTCTATTATAGGTGCATATTCAGTAGACACAATAAAAAAAAATGGAAATATTTGAAAGAGAAATATATTCGCCAAAAAAAAAAAACCAGCAAGTGGAGCTGGAGGTGGAAAAAAGAAAAATTGGTGTCACACGAATGTATTACAATTTTGGACGATGTTATAATGAACAATAATAAGTAAGATGAGATTATAATATTATCTACCTACTTGTACATTACTATAAAACTGATGTATGTATGGTACAAATTGCTGTATATTTATATTTTCTTAGAACAACTAGCAATATAAATTCTCATCCGATGAAATCATAAGTTTTCAAGAACCGAGAACTAAGGCATMTAAAAGTATTAAAAACAAAGTTTACATCTATATTTTGCACTTACATACATATTGATAATTAGTAATTACCATTATAGTGTTTTTATTTAATCTTCAGGGTCAAATAATGATGCATTTGAAGAATCCATCTTAAATTAACTACGTCAATCAAGACCATTACTACCACTGTCAACTGAAAATAAAGCAGATGAAGACCAACATTTTGTTAATTATCTAGCATTGCTTATAAAACAGATACCTAAAAACAAGAAAATGTCATTGCAAGCAGAAATAATAAACAAAGTCATTTCCCTTATGACAGAAGACTAAATTATTAATATTTTGTATTAATTTTATGTGTGTTTTGTTTTGAAAAGTTCTAAAATATTAAGTTTATAAAGCCAAAGAAGACTAGTTAAGTTATGTTATTTTCATGATTTAAAAAAGTATTTAGTTATTTTGTAATAATAATATTTTGTTTTGAGAAGTTGTAATTTTTTTTTGAATACAGTTTTATTACATCAACAATAACACAGTTATTTTTAATTAAAGCAATTTATAATATTGGAATTCAACAGAACCATYACTTGAAAAATAATCTTTTAGTTTGTTTCTTATTATCTTGGCATTAGCTGAATAAGTATTAGTATCCAGTTGATTGATAGAAGCCAAAGCATCTATTTCCTGATTATTCATATCGCTATTAGATATTTCGGTATAATAGCGAACACCTACAATATATATTATATAATGATAAAAATTAACTAATAAAATTTATAATACTTAAGAAATGATTACCTGCATTTTGTTCAGACATTTTTATGAAATTATGTAATACAACCGCGGCTTTTGTAATTGCAATAACTGTTTTTTCTCCAGCAACTATGGGTTTTCTAAAAACACGCCACTTAGAAGACATAATACCAAAAGTATTTTCAATAGTGCGTCTGCTTCTAGAAAGCCTGAAAAGGAAAATATTTTAGTTTTATCAGAATAAAATAATATTCAATTTTATTTAATTTGTGAAAATTACCTGTAATTGAAAATAGATTCATTTAATGGTAATCGTTTTTTACCTCTTCCTGGCCATCCGCATAAGGTTTTCTAAAAGTGGAAAAGCTTCATCACCTACTGCATAATATGGGATTGGTCCACTTTTATTATCTATTTCTTTTTCAATAGGGAAACTTAAAGTTTTATGCACAAAACCTTTGCCCATTTCTGAACTGGAARAAACACCACCATCACTGCACCTTCCTGGTGCACCAATATCTACTACAGTGAAATTGTAACTAGCATCACACATTGCCAAAAGTATGATACTATGTGATCCCTTGTAGTTAAAGYTCGTAG